TTTTAAGAGTAGTTTGTAACATTGGCGACGTCAGTAGGCGATAAATTGAACAGTATTTCAGTCATGGGTACTGTGATTTCATCTGGGCCAGGAGACGTACTGGGTAAACGTTTGATCACGTTGAATACTTCAGTCTGTGTTACTTCGTCTGTCAGACTTTGTCGTAGACTTGTGCCAGTTGTTTGGTACTTCTTAAGTAAATCTGCTTTCCAGGCATTGGTGATAAAAGCTTTTTCATCACGTATTAACTGTGGCACACACCCACTTTAGGCGTGATTCTTCATTGTCGTCAGCCACTGAATGCACAACAAAATTCGCAGAAAAGTCTTTGCAAGTGTTCAGCGGATACCATGCTTCTTCAAAGACTGATGAAGGATAGCATAGCGAATGCTGGCCTTATACACAGAAGTTATGATTTGGCGTAGTGGGTACTCAGCAAGTGGCTTTCTAGCATGTACTTAAGAGAGTTTAGAAAAGGCTCTGTAAGAGCGCTCTCCATGCTTTCGCTGTGAGTGTGCCGCTTGTTCCACGGAGGCCTGGGAATCGTTTACTCATATAACTCTTTCATTAGAATAAAAGTATTCGAACATTATTTTGCGGCGTTGTCAGAGCTCATTTGTTTCCTTAATAGCGTAAAAAACATTGAACTGGCTGAACAGGAATAGCAGGTTGCACCTGAAAGGCGGCAAGAAGCAAGTGATTTTGTTTTTGTGTCAAGAAACAAAGAGGGACTTATACGATGAGATTGTACACACAAGGCGCTCTAAATTTTGAGTTGTTGCAACATAACGTGCATTGATGGTATTCATTAACACCAATAATCAAGTCGTATCAATACAGTGCCCAGGAAAATGGAAAAATGAGGGCAATAAGTTCAGGAAAAGCCTGGAAGAGAAGAAAAGGAGATTGCCGCAATGATGAGAACAGAAATTTATGGGTTTTCAATAGACACTAGGTGTTTTCTGGTCTTTTTTTACGTGTTCTGGTGCCAGGGCCTAATTTGGGAACTCGGTCGTTTGCACGTGATAAGAGGTGCGATGAGAAATTGATGTGAATCAAAGCGCTATGAGGTGCTCACGTTCGGACCACGCGGAAACACGACAATTGAGTCTCTAAAGAACGATCTGGGAAGGACAAAATTTCAGAGGAAGGAAGGTCAGCAAAAAATAGGGTTCGGAAATGCTGTATGCGTGTGTGCTCAAATTAGGGTGCAAGTTAAAGAACCCCAGGTGGTCCGAATTTCCAGAGCTCTTAATCACGGCGTCGCTCATGATCATATGGTGGTTTTAGAAGGTTCAATCCCAAACATCAATCAAACAATCAATCAAGTATTCAAAGTGGGGTTCGGAGGATGAAGAATATAAAGAAGAGTGGACTCGCCGACAGGTTGTTATGTTATCTGTATGAGAAGAACAGTAAACGCAGTTGAGAAGAAGGTCAAGGAGCCTTGCCAGTGAAGATGCGGCTCTAAGTGATGAGGCAACAAAGGTCGTTAAGCAAAAACTTGGACAAGCAGAGAGGATACGCTGGAAGGTAGCGACGGAAAATAGTGGCCATGATTATATACCGAAGGGGGCAGTATGAAATTAAAAGGCAGGAATTTTATGATCCTACAAGGTGAAGCACTCTACTGTTTGAAGCGAGGTGGGCTTGCCACCGAACACGTAGTTATAAACCGGCAATCCGTAACGAACAAGTACAAGCTACATCCATGATCTCAGAAAGCATAGAAAGTGCGATCCACATCATCTATTATTTGTTCTGGTTATATTGATCGGAAGCTGCCTAGCCCAGGTATAGGTAAACTTGAGAAGTGTGTGAACTTAAGCTTGTTGGCACTCATACCAAAAAACAGTACGAAAACGGCCCGGGCGAGATTTTGGCGTTTGTCCTGCTTTATATGTCTGGTTCTTGTTGTTTTCACGTTCATGTATTTCTTTCCTTCATTCTGTGCCTCGCTACGAAAATCAAACCATTCTTCACTCCTAAGACTCCTGAACATTAGCGTAGTTTTCTGTACATCTTGTGACTGCTTTCTCTCGAAGGCAGGACAGCGGACATGAATATTCACGAAGATTCTGCTTTGAAAGTTATCTATGTGATGAGATGCGCACTGTTTTACTATTTGTTTTATACCAGCCAAGAATTTAGTTTTCAAGAGGCATCGGTCTGATGACTCCCGCTTTTTTTTTACCACTCGCCAGTGGCTTGAAACGCCCCCCGCCGTGCTCGCGTAGAATTTTCTCAACGGTTGCGCTTGCTTTGTGTGCATCGTGCACTGCCATGCTCTATGTAGGTCTCACAGTTTCATTCACACAGGAATCTTCCTCCACGACAGAGAAATAAAGTTAGTCCTATTGTAAATGTTTTACTATTACATATATATGTCTGACTAAGGGGAGCTCATTTGTCAATTTCTGATATATATTCACTGCGAACGATTGTGGGTGTGTAGGCTCGTTCTGACAATTGCCTTTGTGACGCTGAGGCCTGATTTCCGGCCTGCTCTAGCGAAGAAGAAATTTTCTGGAATTCTTCTTCTTTCAGCAATGATCAACTGATCGAATGAACCAAAGTGACAACCACGAGGTAATGAATTCAGGGTAGGTACACCTAGCGTTAATCTTACTGCTCCCTATTTACTGTTGCAGTTGTGATAAGAATATGAAGAGAGCAAAGGTGATGCAAAGGCCACTTCGTGTTCGAAAGGAATGAACTTGGGACTTTCATATAGAAGGACACGGAGACAATGGGAAGCCAGTTTGCTCTTTCCGTCCGCATTTCAACACTCACGGATTGCAAACGACTACACAAATTGATGGCTACCAGACTTGTACACGCTAAATAAAGTAGGCAACCTAATACAATAATTATTACTTTCATCAAAGTGAACTGCCTCTTGAAGTCCAGTGAAAGCACCTCAGCAATTACAGAAATAAAGGTTGCCGTAACACGCACACAAACGAAAACACGTTCACTTTATATACAACTGACCAGCACAACTTTCATGGTAGAAAAAGTCTAGAGGCATGCATAAAACTTAGAAGATTGCTGTGGTATTTACCATTCATCGTGACACGCTGCTAACATCAAACAGAAATTGTCTTCAACGTTGTGGTTACTGATTTTTTCAAGTTCACTCCTTAAAAGTTCAGCTGAAACTCTGAAAACTCTCAATGCATGAGGTCACGAGAAGAGCGGGCGTAGGAGCAGAAATGATTGTAAAATGGGGAAACGGTGGCACGCCTCGCTCACCATCTCTAGTGCTATTCTTCGATGTTAACATTCATGGCCCCTGTGAAGTGTCACGCTTCACTGCAGACAGTGTTTGGGTGAGGGGATGCAGGGGATGGCAAAGAAAGAAGGTAAAAAATAGCAGAGGCTCATCCAGACATTGCCAGCATTACATAGCGTGAGCTACAGTCGGACGGACGGACGAACGCCGAATGAACGGACAGATGGAAAAATCATGGATGATTGGATGCATGGACTAATCACTGACGTACGGGGGGGCGAGTGATGGAATGATGGACGGGCGAACTAACCAAGGACAACAAGACGGAGGGACTAGCAGGCGAGCAATCATGCGCTAGTCAAGCGCCAGTCCACTAGCGACTCCGGGAGCTGCCGGTGCTCCTGGAGGTACGTCGGTGCTCGTCAGCATTTCGAATCATAGAAAGAACTGTTTGGTATAAAATTTCTTAGCAAAGCGTTCAGTTTAACTGGAGCAATAACATGTATACTGCGCCTTTAAATATTCTGTTTTTGTGGGTTTTTATTGGACTACTACGTAAGTCAGCGTCATGTTCGCGCAAACGCGGTCATTTTCTGATTTTCTCACACCGGGTACGGCGACGTCCTTATGATTCAAATGCTTTCAATGCTAGCGCGATGATTCAGACACTTCGGGACATGAGCACTAGTCTATTCCTTCAGTTGTCAATGTTGTTCATTTTAGGGTGAAAGGTGCGTACGTCTCATTCCAGGCAAGTGGTGACTTCGGTGGCAACAGAAGGGATGCTGAAAATCATACTCTGATGACGTGACCACATTGTAGTCTAATGATGTGAAAGTCGCCAATATCTCTCTCATTAGTACGTGATCATGCCGTTGCTGCGGCGTTATTGCGTCCAAAGTCCACGTGTCGTCGCTGTTAGTGTATTGAGGAAACGAAGGCGTACAGCCAAGGAAGAAGCTGCTGTGGTGGTGGAGCGGCAGCTACGCCAACTCAGCCAGCGAGACCACCAGGCACTCGTCTTTTATAAGAGAAGCTTCAAATTCTTCACCAAATGCGAAAATGAGCGGCGTATGGCTTGAACGCGACTGATGCAAACAACTGTTCTTCACGCAAAGACTTCGCTATATAACGTCACCATGACGTCACGCCACACGATGGCTTCATAAATTGTAGTCAAAGCTCTGCCAATGGGTAATACTAATTGTTCGGGTTTAACGTCCCAAAACCACCGAATGATTATGAGACACCGTAGTAGATGACTTCGGGAATTTTCACCAGCTGAAGTTTTTTAGCGTACACCTAAATCCAAGCGCTTGGGCATCAAGCATTTTCGCATCTGCCAATGGTTGGCTGATCAAAAACAACCATTTTTTTTACCCAATTATTAGACAATTCAGTTTAGTTACATTGAACCATCAAACTGAGTAACGCATCTCCTCCAGGCGTGTTCTTATTCGCAATGCACACAGATGGTCGCGCCACGTAGCGGCATGTGAGAGCAAAATCTCAGAGATGATTCGTTGCAGAGTGGAGCCAGGTGGGGTTCTCGTTTCTTACCAACTTTCATGCACGCGATGGCGAAAAAATCTAAAAGCAACAGGATGTGTTGCGTGTCTCAGTGCACGAACAGAGAGGTGAAGGATGAGATAAGCCTTCAATCGTTTCCGCTGGATGTGCGACTCAATACGGAGCGGGAGGTGAAGCTCCGTATAGGCAAGCCTGTCACGCTTCCAATGAAGGTTTGCAGTGCACATTTTGTCACCGAAGACTTCTTCTGGAGCAGCATTGGTAAGCAAAATGCTAATTGTTGACATTGTTCACGAAAGCATAAGGATTACGCTCACAATATTGTTGAAAGGAACAGCGCCGTCGATGAGAGACGATGGACGTAAACACCACAATACATGATTGTTGCTTTTGTAGAGTTTAGGAAGCTAGTTCCTTGACGTCTGTCGCCAGCATAAAATGAAGGGAGTGTTATTTTGTCATTCTGTCGATCTTTTTACCAGACCATAATGCGCGACTGCACTTTGAAGTGTCTTACTACGCGGGCTCTTTTATTGCGATCAGGGCCGATCCGGATCGAATTCTGTGATCAACAATGACCGCTGTTACACGGCAAAAACCTCTCCGGATCATGTTTGGTGCAGACGTAACTAAACCAAGATCATATCAATCCCAATTACACTTAATCGCAAGTGGCATTGTAGGGGTAATTGATCTGGACGGAGCCCGATGCAAATCGGCTCTGATCGCGAGAAAAATTCCCTTGTGACACCGGCTTTGCTTTTCAGCGTAATAGCTTTGCGGCTGCTTTTTAAGTCTCATTAGTGCGCATTAGCACTCTTGTTTTATTCTTAATTTTTATTCTTAATTCCACTAATGGAAGGGGCATCGTTATGAATGCAGAATTACGTAAAATGATTAGCTACCGTGCATGCACTGATTGCTTGTTTAACAGCAAGGTATTCGAAATGTGCTTTTGTGTAATGCACTAAGTTGGGTTGTTGTTGTGGCACATGAAATTGCAGGATTTCATTTCAATCCTCATTTTATGTAGATCCAAAATTGTGGACACCTACTTTAAGACGACTAAAGAAGACTGCTGTGCCTTCGCAGAGCTTGCCCATAAGAACACATGAAAAAGAAGACCTGGCAAGGATTCAGGAAGCAGCAGCGCGAGATGCCCGTGCCTCTGCTAGACATGAGCATGGTATGTTTTTATTATTAACATTTATTATGACACGCCACACAAGGCATACAACAAAGAAATCTTGGAAGGTTGAGGAATTAACTATAAGTGGGTCACACTGTGGTATACTGTTTATTAGTCGGCATTTCTTCTGCTAGATTAAAAAATCTAGTAAGCCCGTAGATAGTTATATTTGCAAGTTCTTTTTCAGCGCGCGAACACAGGAAAAAAGGGACATGACAGGGTCCCATGAGGCCGAAGAGTTCCGACACTTCTTTTGTTTAACTGCTGTGCGATCGTTCCCGAGAAATTGTAGTTGCAGGGCTTGACGGTACAGGCGAGCCTGCCGAAGCCATTCCGAGTGTAGACTCTAGGATACTCTCAAACTATTGCCAATAGAGGGAGTGGGCCACCGAACAATGACTTGACTGCGGAAAGTTGAGCCGGATGCAATACGCCAAAGAGCATGCGCGGCAAACCGCCACACTGAATAAACTGACGAGAATGGCTCGTAGAAAAGGAGATATAGATGCCCAATGTACTAAAACGTAACTAAAATGTAAGATAGTCAGCTGTAAGAAGATAGTCAGTTGTGTAATGTCAAACCAATTTAACTCTGTTCTGGAAGTGCTGCAAGCTATTTAAACATTACTGGCTTTCAGTGATCTCTACACCATTTTTAGGCAAAAGTTTCATCTCTCCTAGATTTCTTATGGTTCTGATTTCTTCTGCAATCACCATGATGTTTCAGACACTGCAAAACAATGCTACCCCACATTAAGGCTACCACCGAATTGTGCGTCATGAAACTTTAAAGAATGCACACAACCAAACTCATGCAAAATGTCATAAGTGCATGACACCAATATTAGCAATTGGTTGAAAAGCGCACTCACCACTTCGAGAAACAAAGGCAAAAAGAAGGCACATGTAGAGCGCGTTTTTTGTGTCTTGGTTTGTCCTTATGTAGTGTTCACACTGCCTTGGTGTCTTTGTTTGTCTTTTGTGTTGAGTCTGTGCCTTGCAATCACAATGGAAAGAAACTTGAAAGTGCTTAAGTCTTTAAAACATGCAACAGCTGGCTGCAGAAATGCATGGTTGACAAACCGTAAACAAGCCAGACTGATTGGCAGCCAAAACTTATCACTCTCACTATTTGACATAAAAGAGCTGCTGTGCAGTATTGAGTGCATGTTGTAAAAAGTCTGCAGCAAAAAAAAACCAACAAGGCATAAAATGTGGCTTGTGACATTGTCCACACGGCATTTTCTCGTGCTCCAGCTCAATCAGTGAAGAAATGACAGGACAGGAATGTGAGAGCTTTTGGTTACACCTCTTTACTCTCCAAAAGTTGGCTTCTTTGCAGTGATTTCAGGTGGTCATAAGATGTATTATAGCCAGGCGTATGCGGGCAAAATATGTTGAGCTCACTCACGCTCGGCAAATACATTTTGCCCTTACAGTTCATTCGGCCTCAGGCTCACAAAACATTTTCCTAAGTCGCACTCATATTGACTAAATTACTTACCCCGACTCACCTATACAAAGACTCACCACTCGTGTTTGAGCGAATTCACTTGTGAATTTGCCAACCTTTCATGTCACATAATATCTTGAAATTCAGGCATAACAGGGCTAATTTAAAGCATTATTCACATGGCTAGACTACATCGCTGTAAACAAGAAATAAAATTGTCTGCTCAGTAGAGTTGCTTGCACTCATCTGATGCTAGAAAATGTAAACCAATTTACAGCTATGCAAAATATATTCATGTCGTGCTAAGGCCAAGATAAAGCAGTTTTCAATCCCTCTTTAATTTAACTGCCTCAGGCTTGCATGTTCAACATATCGTAAGTACACTCTGAGCTGTCACTGTGCCTGTATACTCTTTTGTAATGCAGAATGCTTACGAGATCTTTCATTTTACTTTTCTGCAGGATCAGCTTCTCAAGGAACATGTTGGGAGCCTGCTCAACCTTTGCATGTGTCACCTTGAGAAGAGAACCGCGACGAAGCCCTTTGTGATGTAAAGGCTCCATGATATGTTGTATGTAGTGCTTTTGTAGCTATATGCATCCAGGGTGAAAGCTTGGAAACTAAAATAAGGATTTATACTAACCAGAGAGAACAACTTTATGTCAATAGCTTGAAGCACGTATCTCCCAAAACGTTATTACGCCCTCTGGCAACTTTTTTACCACAATAAGCCGTACATTGATCCTAACCTTCGATAGTGGCACGATTAATAGCTGGCAGGACGACAGCGGAGAATTAAGTGAGCAGCACGAACTAGTGTGCAACTATTTTACCCTGTGCACGAGCACAGGGTAAAATTACAAAATGGCTCAAGGAATGCATATCAAGTTATGCAGTATCATCGAACATAAAGTCAAAACTTCTACTTAATTTTAAAGATACATCAGGAAAAAATATGCCACATTTCACTTATTTGAAGCATTCATACTCTTGTTTCATAATAGTGTTGTTGCAGCATGTGCCTAAAATTTTCTCATATTTTGCTCCATAGGCGAAAATCACAACATGCCACTTTATCACAGAAACAATGAGTCAAGCAGATGACAGGATAAGCAGGGAGTGAAATGCCAGAGCACTGATACAGTCGAACCCACTTATAAGAGGCACTTATGTAAGAAACAATTGGAAATAAGAGACACTAGGGTGCTTAGAATTAAATAGGGGTTCCTAAAAAATGCTTACGTGGTACTCTGCTGATAAGAGACATCTCATGTACATGACAAGAGTTGCTCCCCGGAGTATGCCTCTTATAAAAGGGTTCAACCATACGCACAAATTGATATAAACAGTATAAGGTCATGGCATCACACAATGGCACGCATCATCAGTCATTAGACAACTGTGTATACATGGAATGCTATGAAGCAATTAAAAACAATTAGAAAGCCTGACGAGCTTATACAATTGCTTCTTACTGCAATTAGGCCGAAACAAGGTAAATCATTTTGACGTCATTTCTTCCAAAAATTAGAAGATTCTCAGCACTCTTGCATTGGCTTGAATCTGTTTGTATGGGAAATCTTTCTTGCATGCACGTACAAGAGCAGGGCCAAGAAACTGCATCACACACATGTGCTAATGGTGCAACTGCTACATCTGTATCAACAGTGGAGGTTGCAGAAGCCCTTCTTCAGCTTTAGCAGTGCATAAAGATGTACCAGACATCATGTGCACACAAGATAAAGGCATCCAGCTTGATGAAGACTCTATTATAGCGAAGCCGTTCAGGCTTGTAGATATGTTGACATCAGATAATACTGTGCTTGCTTTTACTGGTGTGTCATCAAAGACTTTACTTGTAGCCATTAGTATTGAAGTAAGCAGGATTGAAGATGCAGTAGCTGAAATGCCTACTCTTCAACGAGTCATTCTTGTTTTTGTGCGATTGAAAACTTGCTTACCCTTTGTGTGTATGGCACCACTATTTTTTGTGAGCCGCACTACCATCTCTGGCCACTTCTACAGCACACTGCGTAACCTTTCAGCGGTACTGAATTGTGCAATAACATGGCCAAAAAAAAAACAAGAAATAGCAAGCAATCTGCCTCAATGCTTTGAAGAATATAAAGAGGTATGTGTTGTACTATACTGCACAGAGGTTGCAGTAGAAAAATCGCACTGTGCTTCTTGTAGAATTTTAACAAACTCTCATTACAAAAGTACACGCACAGCAAAGCTTCTTGTTGGCGTCCAACCTGCTGGCTTGATTACTTTTGTGAGCTGCGGTTTCGGAGGCCAAGCATCAGACAGGACTTGCGTTGAGAAATCGGGAGTTCTAGAAACACTTGACAGTTTTGAAGATGATGTCATGGATGACAAAGCTTTCAACTTGGGCTCGCTATGCGAAACCCTGGGCTGGGGGTTGTGGAGCCTCCGTTTCTTCGTGGACAGCTGCAGTTTATGGCGAAAGACTGAAAAAAGAATCCACAAACAGCCAGGGCACGTGTGCACATCGAGCGTGCAATCTAGGAATAGAAGTTTTTAAAGTTCTGAAGGAACTTGTACCTTGGGAAGTCGTCAGCACCCTTAATGAAATATTTATTGTGATTGGTGGAATTGTAAATCTCACCTCCTCTATTCTCGTTTGAGAAAAGGTTAGAGTGATATTGTGAAACTTGTGTTTGCAATGAAAAGTAGTAGAACTTAATATGCAGGTAGTCAGAAACTGAACCTATGGTACAGGACCTGGAGGTCAATGAAGAAGCTAAAGAAGCTGAGCACCAAAACATGAGAGATAACACACCATTGTGCTATGTAAAGACTATCGAGTTAATGGACCAACACACAGGGTCCCTTGGGCAATCACATACGAAGACTTGAGAACGAGTCATGACCTTTTTCTTCTATGTCGATTCACAATTGCACCCCCCTCCATGACATGTGTGTTTGTGTAGAAAGGTATTATTTTCACTGCATTGCCGAGCTGAGGAAGTTATTTTAGTTTTTTTTTCTCTGTCGATGTACCATTGCACCCCCTACCCTACCCAGGACATGTGTGTTTGAGAAGAGAGTTATTTTAACTGCATTTGCGAGCTGAGGAATTTATTTTCGATGTACTTCTAAGCATATGCATAGCTGTGTGGTAGAACACTTGCTAGTAACTAAAATGGCCATAGTTTCAATCCTCACTCGGACCCGGAAATTTATTACTTATTTTATTCGCATATGGCTTAATTTTTCTATTATGGACAAGATGATGATTGTTCAGTCACAACCAACAATCCTGACGCCGGCATTTCTGTGAAACGAGCTCTTTAATGCTACCGCATTATTATTCACAAACCTATTGTTGCTTCCGGCTGCTCACACCGTGGCTGTGTATAGAGTACATGATGAGTGACATTAAACATATCTTAAGGGCAGAGGGTAGACTCATATCTCCTATGTATTCTAAGGCTGCTGTTGCATGCACTTTTTCTTTACTGCATGTAAAGTGTTTCGGTTTGTTTCATTTTGTGCGTCATCATGTTCTTGCAGTGCAACTATGTGATAATAATCTATCAACTGTATGTTTTTGGTATTCCTTTAGCGAAGCATGTATATTTCGTCATTACCTCATTATAGTTAGATAGCTTCGTTTCGGTATTTGGTCTATTACAGGAAGAATTGAACTTCTGCCTTAAATTGGAAGTATTTCTTAGTGAACTGCAGGCTATCTGTCTAGCCACCTAAGCCTGTATGCTATGCCTCGTGATCGCCTACTTGACTTAGGGTAAACCAAAATTAGTATGGAATTGAGAATATATGTATCTGATCATGATATGAATAACGGACATACATGTCACGTACATTGTCCGAAAGTTTCTTCAAGACACGTGTGGCCCATACCTGTTATCATGGGTCGCGGTAGACAGGTAATGCGAGAAAGGAGATTGACAGTTTTTATCTACATAGGAATGGCGAGAACAAACATTGGTGATTCTTTTAGACACTTCAAACATTCTATCATAGTACCACACCAGGTCTCGAAACAGTTTTGGAAAAAGGCCCTGTGTAGCCATAACTGCCAGTGTAGTGTCAATCATGGTGCTTGCTACTTAAATATTTAAAATTAAATATTATCATGCACTCCAATGATGCAGGCGTCATGTCGAGTTGACATCATGTGGAGTTAGGCACTCTCCTCCAAAGTTAGCTTAGTTTACACTATCCAGGACTACTGTCCTCGCAAACATAAGGGATACCACTTCTGATGTTGATAATATCCACGTTGCTGTTGGCATTGTTACGGAACTCTTAACAACAGGTTATATAAAACAAATGTGACTATGTGAGCGTACAACATTTGCGCATATCTGTAGCATCATTTTGTAATGTTTTACTGAATTAATCAATTACAGCACAGTCACTTTCCTTCCGCATGTTACGAATAACATAAGATTCTCATGGTATGTCGGATCTGCCAAATTTCATTAGGTTGCTCTGATAATTGGTGAAAGGTAATAAAAAAATAGCGTCGACATATAGAGAGCTAAAGTGAAAAAACGTTCATTTCATGTTTTGTTCGAATAGATCATCTGCCATGAAATCATGACTTGAATCATCTCCCTTTATTTGTTACTGGTTTTCTTTGCTGTAACTTGTGTCTCTATTGGCCGAATACTGATAAAGGCGGTCAATCGCACCAAATCAAATCACAGCGTTACGTCTAAACAGCCTTGACAGGATTTAGTGCAGCCATGCAGGCCTTTTAAATAGTCGGAACAGTTTCAAAGGTGGCAGTTTTGAGAGCTTTTTATGTAAATTCACATGATACAATGTGTTCTCTATGTGTTCCACGGTTCTTTGTATTCTGTGCAGATACAATTACTCGAAATCACGGTTTGTGGAAGCTCCCCATCAATAAAGAGAGAATATCATTTTCTACTGCAACAAAATCAACAACAGTGCAACCAAACTGAAAATGAGTGCACGGAACAGCGGCTACATGCATGTCCTGGACACGCAAGGCGTTAGGCCTAGGTGAATGCAACACATGGCTAATGTTAGGAGAAGCAGCATCAAGTACCTTAAATAGCCGTATTACTTTTCCGGAAGCCTGTTACACTAACAAGAACTACTGGTTTCAATTTTAAAAAGCATTCACTTAATGTTTAAGTTCTTGCACACCGCTTAGACGACAAAGACTGAACCACATAAACACAAGCGCAATCTTTCAACTGACTTTAGTAGACGGACACATGATGCTTTTGTACAATCGTGTTTCATGGTTAGAAAAAAATGTTGACAAAGATTGATTTACAAAAACGTAAACAATGCACTGCTGATAACCACACATGCCGAGAAACCACATACCTATCGCATAACCCTACGTTACGAATACAGATACATCACATCCTTCTGCGTTAGTGCCACAGATGGCATACTGACTCAATCATTCCGCAGTCCAATAATCTCTGACACGTCACAATGATTTCGCACATCTAATATTTGTGTATAGCGACCACCTTGGTTTCATGAAACTTCAGCTGA